CATGATGTAGCTGGAGGATGACTTATATAATCAGTTTTCATATTTTTCCCACTGTTGTGGTTTCCTAAACACAAACTCACCTGCTATTTTTGATATAAGTCTAAATTTGGCAAATTTTAATACAAGTGATTTCATGTTTATTTGATAAAAAAGAATGCTTTTTTTGTTTGGGCTTTGAAATTTTACTTCTGTTTTCTAAAAGAAGGAAGATAACCCAAAAAATTTTATCTGAGTAGCTGAAAATTTTGAAATTTTACCAAAATTGTTAAAAAAACTTAATTATTAGCACAATCAAAAACTCAGAATACTTTCCTGCGGGCTTCAAACTTTTACCATTAATGGGCTTTATTAAAATTCTTTTTGTTTTAATATTTGATTTACATATAAGCGACTTTTGGGAAAGGGGTGGGCTAGTGGAAAATATAGGGGGGGGGGGGGGTTGAAGGGGGTTGGAATATTTTTAAAAATGCAGTATTAGAATGTGGGGGCAGAATTTTTGGGGTTTTATAGGAGGGGGGTGCAGGGGGAAATAGGATGATTGGTGGAATGATGAAGTAAAGGGTGTGAAAAAGAAAAAAGGTAGCTTATGAGATTTTTACAAAGCAAAGTGTTATAAGAAGAGCAGAGAAAATTGGAGAGTAAAAAAAAAGGTAAAGAAGTGGGGAAGAGGCAAAAGGGAGCAATGATAGAGGGGGAGAGGCACTGTCAAAAAATTTTAATAAATAAGAAAAAATTTTGGAGTGATTTAAAAAACAATTAAGAAAACCAGGAAATATGGTTTTGTCATTTAAAAACAAGGGGGGATTAGTAGAGGGGGAATGGGGTTTTAGGAAGAGGGCGAGAATATTTGAGGAATTTTTAAATGTTAACCCTTTTGAGGGTTGGGACGTACAGTACGTCTTCGCGCAGGGGTTTTTGACGTACATAGCATAAATTCTAGGCCGCAAATCTCACGGAAAAGGCTGGTAGGCCCCATATAAAAGAAGGGCTATGTGGTCAGTGTGCAAGAAAAAAAAAAAAACCCTGCAGCACACAGTGCTATGAGAAAAAAAAAAACTTTTACCTTTTTTGGCATAAAAAAAGGACTTTGCACTGTATTTTCGTATGGTATTTTTTGTTGTATTTAGTTTTCTTTGGGCTCATTTTTTTTGAATAATACATACACAGAAATTGAGTATTTTCATGGTTTTTACAATGAAAAGTACCTTGAAAATTTAGCTCAAGTACAGAAATGTTCGATCTTTACAAAGTTCAAAAGTAAACAAATCATGCCAAAGCTCCCAATACACTCAATTGGGGAGTCTGCATTCTTTTGCAAGGTGCCAAATGTTTTTTAAAACCCTTTTTACCAATGCAGTGCTGCATAACAGAAATCTTCTATTTTTTGTGGGAAAAAAAAATTTAAAGGGGGAAAACAAAAAAGTAAAAGGGGGTGAACGTACAAAAGAACAGACAAATTCATTTTGGCCAGGAATGTATTTCTTGTTTGTTTGGCCCTATCGGAAATGACATTTTTTGAAATTTGTGTAAAATTGGCAAAATTGTAAAAAAAATTTGCCACTGTATTGGGTAGTTGAAAAGGTAAATGGGGGGTTTCTTGCACCCTTCAATAGAAAAAAGTATTAGCGAAATATTCGTTTTTTTTCGATAGTACAGAGGAATTTGGCCCAAAATGGGGAATTGGGGAAATTGCCCATGCTAAAAATCGCCGATACCCCTAACTTTACAGAGCTAATTCCGTAAGTTTTCCCTCAAATCTCATAATTTTTTGGTGTCATATGATCGGGAAAAGTTCTTATCTTTCATAAGAAAATTTTTTTTTTTTTTTTTTTTTTTAAATTTTGGGCCCACCCTGAGAACGAGTTTCTGGGGGGCCCGTCAACCCTCAAAGGGTTGGAAGAAACAGAGGCAGTAATTTCATGCACTGGCAGGGGGGTATCCCTCTTTTTTGGAGGAAGAAGAGCAGAATGTAAGTGTGGGGGGGTACGTGAGGCATTTCGTAAAAGAAAAAAGGGGGAAAGCAGCTGGAATGATGGGATCTGACAGAAATGTTAAAAACAGGGGGGGGTATAGTGTTGGAGTGGTTGGGCTTTTTGTTTAAAAATGTATGAAAAAGGGGGGAAGGACCTAGGTTTTGGGGGGGAGCATGTATAGCCCCTTTAATAAAGGGAAAGGGACAAAAAGGACGTAAAAATTATGAGGAAAAATTTTACTGAGTTAAACCCGGAAAAGTTACGGTAGGGGTTTTAATTAAAGAATTTGAGGGAAGACACAAGTAGGATTGAGATGAGCAAAGGAGGATTCAGAGTGGGTAGGGGATGTGTAATCAAGTGTTTACATTGAAGCATAATATGTGAACAGTATTTAGATAATAGGTAGGGAAGTATTTATTGCATTTATGGATTTAGAAAAGGCATATGAATAGAGTGATAGAGGAGCACTGTGCAGATGTTGCAAGTATCTGGAATAGGTGGTAAGTTATTCAATGCTGTAAAAGATGTATGAGGAATCGTGAGGCCTCAGGTTGGGTGTGTAGAAAGAGAGGAGATCTACTTTCCCGGTAAAAGTAGGAACGTAGACAGGGATGTAATGTCACCATGGTTTTAATATATTTAATAGACTGGGGGGGGGTTTTGTAAAGGAAGTAAATCTAGGGTGTTTGGGAGAGGTGGTATTAAATTTTGGGGAATCAAATTCAAAATGGTTAGTTGACACATTACTTTATTTGCTGAGAAACGTGCATATGGTGAGAATCTAAAGAAAAAATGCAAAGGTTAGTGGATGAGTTTTGAATGTGTGTAAAGTAGAAAGTTGAAAGTGAACCATAGAAAAGAGTTAAAGGTGATGAGGGATGTCAAATGATTTAGATAAAGAAAAATTGGATATCAAATTTGGGGAGGAGGAGTAATGGAAGAAGTGAATGTTTTCAGATACTTGGGAGTTGACGTGTCGGCGAATGGATTTATGAAGGATGAGTTAATCTAGAATTGATAAGGACAAAAAGGAGATGGTGTGTTGTGGATATATGTGGAGTCAAAAACGTTATCTATGGAGGCAAAGAAGGAATGTAAGAAAGGTATAGTAGTACACAACACTCTATATGGGGTGTGAAGCTTGGGTGGTAAATGCAGCAGCGAGGAGACGGTTGGAGCAGTGGATGTCCTGTTTTAAGGGCAAATGTGTGGTGTAAATATTATCAGAAAATTTCGAGTGAGGAAAATAGGACAAGGTGTGGAGTTAATAAAAATTAATTAGTCCCAGAGGGCAGAAGGGGTTGTTTGAGATGTTTGGTCATTTAGAGAGAATGGACCAAAGTAGAATGACATGGAAAGCATATTTATTTATTTATTTATTTATATATTTATTTATAATTTGAGCACACTAACAAGTACAAAAAAAAAAAAAAAAAAAAAAAAAAAAAAAAAAAAAACAAAAAAAAAAAATACAGAAACGAGCAGCATGGCCAAAAGCCACTTATACTATGCATAGGCATTACGGGCTGGCTTAAATTAACTTAAGTTAACTAAGCAATGATGAAATACTGAAAAACATAATGTAACTGGAATTACTATAAAGCACAAGGGGTGATTAGTACAAAGACAGTCAATGGTTGCATGCATTGTTGTAAATTCAGTAGAATGGAAGTAATTCAGTTAGGTATGAAATAAAAATAATAAAGTAGATTGGTTTTAGGTTAACATTAAGTGTTATAATTGAGAGAAACATTTAAGATATACAATTTATATTGTTCAGTTATTCAGTATTAATTTGGTTATTTGTGTAGTAAGTGATCTTTGAAAGAGACTTGAATTTATAAACATGTAGTGTTTCCTTAAATTAACATGTAATGAAATTCCACAGATTTTAGGGCCTTTTATGTGCATTGATTTTTTGCATAAGGCGTGAGATGACACTAGGAATATAAATCTATAAGAATATAAATCTATAAGGGAACGAAGGTGGTAGTGGTCGTCCTCGAAAGGTTGGAAGAGGGGGTAAAGGAGTTTTGTGGCACGGGCTTGACTTTCAGCAAGCGTGCATGAGCGTGTAGATAGGAGTGAATGGAGACGAATGGAATTTGGGAACCAACGATCTGTTGAGTGTGAGCAGGGTAATATTAGTGAACGGATTCAGGAAAACCGGTTATTTTCTTATAGACGGACTTGATCCTGGAAACGGGAAGTACAATGCCTGCACTTTAAAGGAGGGGTTTTGGGATATTGGCAGTTTGGAGGGATATGTTGTGTATCTTCATATGTGTATGCTTCTAAACTGTTGTATTCTGAGCACCTCTGCAAAAACAGTGATAATGTGCGAGTGTGGTGAAAGTGTTGAATGATGATGAAAGTATTTTCTTTTTGGGGATTTTCTTTCTTTTTTGGGTCACCCTGCCTCGGTGGGAGACGGCCGACTTGTTGAAAAAAAAAAATAAAAAATAAACTTAATTTTGTGAATGTAGTCCTGCAAGTTTAGGAAAAAAAATTTAAATACATAATCCTTAGTGCCTGAAAAAATTACTTAAATTTGATCTAATTTGTTTCAGATTGTAATTTTTGAATGATAAGTAAAGTCAACATAAAGTTTAGAAGCTGCTTGCAGACTTTTCTGACCAGTAATAAGAGACCTGTTAAAACTTTTATAAAAGTTACTTTATTAAGTTTTAACAAGTAATTTGGATGTGAAACACAAAAAGCCACAATACTGTGATTGAAACAATACACAAATAACCCGCACATAGGAGACTGAAACTTATGATGATGTTTCAGTCCAGTGGTTCTAGCCTGACCAAAATGTCGTCATAAGTTTCAGTCTCCTACATGCAGATTATTTGTGTACAGTTTGAATGTAGTTATATTAAAATATGTGGAGAAATTGAGTCCAAATTATTTTTTTATTATACTTCAATATAAATGTTGATTTCCTATTGCTAAAACAGTGTTCGGCACTATAAAAGAAAAAAAACACATCTGAAGATAAATTACGTAAATGAAGATCTTTATATGGCTCTTAGTTATATTGGTAACGGAAGACTTATCCATAATGCTGCAGCTAAAATGGAATTCAGAGCTAGCAGGAATGAGGAGCCAGTCTACATTAGGAGGATGCCAACTTTGCATCATGCAGAAGAGGAAGCAATTGCTTCACATGTTGCAGCTTTAGGATATTCTGGCCTAGATATTACTATTGCTGATCTGCACAACTTCATTCAAAATGAACTGAATATACCTGAAAGCCACATTTCTGAATTTAATAATAATCTTTGTGGCAGTGAGTGGACACATGCTTTCCTTGAGAGTCACTGCAAGATTTTGACACAAAGTGTAAAAATATTCCAAGAAAGACGTGTTGTGTCAGACAAAGGAATGGATGTTTACTTTCGACACTTACATTACCTACTGATGGAGTTCCACCAAGTAACATCGTAAATTATAAGGAAATGAATATTACTGCTGTTCCGTAAAGGTACTGAGCAGGCTGAGCCAACCACAAATGCTACAAAGTCGTTAACTTCAATTATGCTTGCCACTGCTGTTGGACTGGTTTTAGATCCTTAAGATGCTAAGATACTAAGATACTTAAGATGCTAAGAGGGTCACTTGAGGCTCACTATACAGTCAAAATCTGTCTGGTTTGAATCAGATTTGTTCATAAACTGGTTCCAAAATTTTTTGTATTCAGAAACTACATACCACAGGACGATCCGTCTTCTTTCAAGTGGTATAACTAGCAGAGACATATAATGCAGGATAGTGTTTCTGCTTCCCAGTTCCACTAGCACGATGCAGCCTAGAGATGCTATTTACGGGCCTCTGAAGAAAGTGTGGTGGAATGTTTTAACATACTGAAACATGGATGATGGGAGGAATGTGACCACACTTCTATAATGGGTGATTCAAAAACTGATTTGTTACTAGACTGTGGAAGTGCCAATTTGCAAAATTTTATTTTAACCCTTTGACTGTGGTGTCTCCTGAGGTGTCTCCTGGTGTTGCAAAATTTAAAAAAAAAAAATTATTTTTTCTTATGAAATGATAGAGAATCTTTTCCCGATTGTAATGACACCAGAAAAACGAAATTTGATGGAAAACTGACGGAATTAAGCTCTAGCGAAGTTAGTGACCTCAGCGCTGTTTACAAATCGGCGATTTTGCCCACTTTGAGCCCTATTTTCGGCTAATTCCACTGTTCCAGTCGCCCAAACTCATAGCTATTTCTTTAGAACTCCATTTTTCTATCGATTGAGTACAAGAAACTGCCCATTTACCGATTTGAACTACCTAATAATGTGGTCAGAAATTTGCAATTTGGCCAATTTCACGAAAACTAAAAAATATGACAATTTCAAAATAAGGTCCAGAATGAACAATGCAGACATTCCTGGCTCTAAAATAACATTTTCTTTGCTCATCAGTCATGTCTCCAGGCCCCTCTGATATTACTCTTGCTTTCTATTTTGAATTTTTATTCAAACAAAAAATAGAAGACTTACTATTATGCAGACTACTGCAATACTGTAATAATTGTACAGATAACATCAACTCATTCATGACTGCATATTAGAATGGCTAGTTGGAGATTTATTGGACAATGGCATCATTTGTTTACTTTTGAACATTGGCAAAAATCAAACATTTCCCCTACTTTGAGCTCCATTTCTAGGTTCTTTTTATAGTAAAATCAATCAAAATCACCTCTATTTCTATAATATGTTTTCCATTCTATCAAATGAGACCAAGAAAACGAGAATACAACCATAAATACTATACGAAAATAGACCACAAAGTCGGCATTTTAATTAAAAAAACAGTCAGAGTTTTTTTTTTCTCATTATGCACTGCATGCTCCAGGATTTTTTTATATGGTGCACACTGACCACACAGACCCATTCTCTCACATGTGGGCCTACCAGCTTTCTCCTGCTTGATTTGAAGCTGCTAGAATTTATGAGTATATATACGTCAAACAGGGTACCTCGTAAGACGTATATATACGGCCGCGACAGTCAAAGGGTTAACAATTAAGCCATGAATGCCTGCTAGCTGTGGTAGGAGGCCCCCTGCCAGTTTCTTTACAAAAAGAATGTTCATTTATTTTCTTTTTACAGAACTTTAGGGGGATAAAGTAAAATTTATTTTTGAAAAAAAAAAAAATGAAAAATAGTGAAACTTAGCTTACTTTTTATTGCATTTTAATGTTTGACAAATTTATAATAATACTTTCCTCATCACACAATGATAAAATTACATAAACTAAATTTACACTAAATAGCTGACTTGATTTTATCATATTTTTTCTTCTTGTGATTATGAATTTTTAACAATTTGCAAGAATCTTATTTATAAGACCCTTATTTGACGTTGATGTGTTTCAGAACCATTAAGGCCATAAAATATTGATCCTTAACCCTTTCAGGGTTTTGGCCGTACTAGTACGGCTTATGTGCCAGGGTTTTTGACGTAAGATAAGATAAGATAAGATTTCATTCGGATTTTTAACCCCGGAGGGTTAGCCACCCAGGATAACCCAAGAAAGTCAGTGCGTCATCGAGGACTGTCTAACTTATTTCCATTGGGGTCCTTAATCTTGTCCCCCAGGATGTGACCCACACCAGTCGACTAACACCCAGGTACCTATTTGCTGCTAGGTGAACAGGACAACAGGTGTAAGGTAACGTGTCGAAATGTTTCCACCCGCCGGGAATCGAACCCGGGCCCTCCATGTGTGAAGCGGGAGCTTTAGCCACCAGGCCACCGGGCCTGGTACTCATAAATTCTAGCGCCTTCAAATCTAATGAGAGAAAGCTGGTAGGCCTACATATGAAAGAATGGGTTTATGTGGTCAGTGTGCGCAGTATAAAAAAAATCCTGCAGCACACAATGCATAATGAGAAAAAAAAACTTTGACCGTGTTTTTGGATTAAAACAGCAACTTTGCACTGTATTTTCGTATGGTATTTATTGTTGTATTCTAGTTTTCCTGGTCTCATTTTATAGAATGGAAGACATATTACAGAAATTTAAATGATTTTGACTGGTTTTATAATGAAAAGTACTATGAAATTGAGCTCAAAGTAGCAGAAATGTTTGATTTTTACCAAAGCTTAAAAGTAAACAAATCATGCTAAGCGTCCAATACACGTCAACTGGTGAGCCTAATATTCTTCCACAAGTGCACCAATATTATTTATACCATTTCTACACTAATGCAGTAGTCTGCATAACAGTAAATCTTCTATTTTTTGTGAGAATAAAAATTCAAAGTGGAAAGCAAAAGAATGTAAGAGGGGCGTGGGGACGTGACTAATGAACAGAGGAAATGTTATTTTAGTGCCAGGAATGTCTTTCTTGTTTATTCTGGACCCTATTTGGAAATTGGCATCTTTTGAAATTTGTGTGAGATTGGCAAAATTGCTAAATTCTGACCACTGTATTGGATAGTTGAAATTGGTAAATAGGTGGTTTCTTGTACTCATTCGATAGAAAAATGGAGTTCTAGCAAAATAGGTATGATTTTTGTCGATTAGTACACTGGAATTGGCTGAAAATAGGGCTCAAAGTGGGCAAAATCGCCAATGCGTGAACATCATCGAGACCGCTAACTTCACGAGAGCATAATTCCGTAAGTTTTCCATCAAATATCATACTTTTGGTGTCATTATGATCAGGAAAAGATTCTCTATCTTTTCATAAGAAAAAATAATTTTTTTTTTTTTAAATTTGGGGGACCGTGAGAACAAGTCTCTGAGAGGGCCTGTGGACCCTGAAAGGGTTAAAGAGTCCTGGGTCTTTTTGAAGGTGTTACGTTAGAGATGCTAGACTTATTGTGTTGAGCTCAATCACCTGAGGCCTCTTGAATGTGTTGACCTCCAGCTCCAGGCTACCGTATCCTACTCAGAATCATGTTATTGTGCTGACTTTATTATAAAAAGCAAGTGTTATTTTTGTTAGTGTATTAACTTGAGAATGACTCATCTGAAGATTCAATATTGTTTAAGTGATTTTATTACAAATTCATTGGTATTAAGTAGTTTAAAGAAAGGGATTCTTGGTTTTTGTGCAGTAACTGCAAAATGATTCTTCTTAATCAAACTTTCAACACTGTCACATTTGGTTTACATTATTATTGGGCTGTGAAAGTTTAAATATATAAATTTTTAAAAGAAAAACCTTAAAGGATGAAAAGAACACTGCACTTGGTTATGTGTGGAGGCTCTGGAATACAGACATAAGAAGATATGATTTGTAAAAATCTAGGGGCGCTAATTTGAAGACTTCACCTGGGAATACTACAATTTTCAAGCCTATAATTTAAAAATATAAAAATAAAAACAATGTTAAGTATGGCTTCACTCGGATTCTAATTCATTTTTTGCATCAATATACAAATTCCATTTATTAATATTCGCTGAAATATTCCCTAACTGATAAAGATGCAAACGGGAAATTTTCATTTGCTGCCTTCTTCACAAAACATTCACAAATTTATGGGAAAAAATCACTCAAAAATATTAATTTAAAAATTCATAAAATCATAAACTTTACTCAATTCTGATGTTTTGTCTCCTTAATTATGTGGAACGATGTGGTATCTACATTTCTCAAAGCTCATGTGTCTAAGTTCTGGGACTAGTCTCTGCACTTCTTCCAGTTGGGGCCCTGGTGGCCTGGTGGCTAAAGCTCTTGCTTCACACAGCAAGGGTCTGGGTTTGATTCCCAGCCAGGGTAGACATTGGGTGTGTTTTTTTTTATACCTGTTGTCTATGTTCATCCATCATTAAAATGGGTACCTGGGTGTTAGTCGACTGGTGTGGGTCGTATCCTGATACAAAACTGACCTAATTTGCCCGAAATGCTTTGCATAACAAGCGACTTTCTATATACTAGTAGTATGTCATTGACGTCAGCTAGGCCTGTATACCTTGTACATGTACTTGTAGTAAATAAAGATATTATTATTATTATTATTATTAGAGTTTCTTGACATGTCAAGTGAAGCCTCCTTCCTGTTAGATCAGTAGTATACAATACTGTCAAGTTGTTGAACAAGACATATGTGCAACACCTGAGTGTCTTTACTGATGATGCCAAGGTGTTACACGTGTCTTATTAACCTCTTGTTTTGATGTGACCTTCAGTACACTCGTGGGTTTGGATGATTGTATTGGGTCTAGTAAATGTTTTATAAAGGCCTAATATATGTTTTATAAAGATCCCAGATTCAATGAAACATTATTTTTAAATAAGGGAAGAACCACAAACTGAAATTTG